TTTAACTATTGATAAGAGTTTTGTTATTGTATTTTATTATTCTCCATATTATCAGTTCACCTGTCTTCCTACGACTATCAACTTGTACTTTTACCTAGAGACTTATTCTATTTCATTGTGATTATTGACCCATATTGCCTTGATTGGTTTAACATTTTCATAGTAACTATTCATGTATATTAGAGTAAAGGCTTGATGATGATCTAAATTGTAAACAATATTGTTCGCTTATATGTGTTGTTTTATTTTTCACAATGGGAATCTTTAACATTCTGAACTGATATCTATCTATCTATCTATCTATCTATCTATCTATCTATCTATCTATCTATCTATCTATCTATCTATCTATCTATCTATCTATCTATCTATCTATCTATCTATCTATCTATCTATCTATCTATCTATCTATCTATCTATCTATCTATCTATCTATCTATCTATCTATCTATCTATCTATCTATCTATCTATCTATCTATCTATCTATCTATCTATCTATCTATCTATCTATCTATCTATCTATCTATCTATCTATCTATCTATCTATCTATCTATCTATCTATCTATCTATCTATCTATCTATCTATCTATCTATCTATCTATCTATCTATCTATCTATCTATCTATCTATCTATCTATCTATCTATCTATCTATCTATCTATCTATCTATCTATCTATCTATCTATCTATCTATCTATCTATCTATCTATCTATCTATCTATCTATCTATCTATCTATCTATCTATATATATATATATATATATATATATATATATATATATATATATATATATATATATATATATATATATATATATATATATATATATATATAATTAAAACTGTTTACTGCTTGATATGTTAGTTTGTGCGATCAATGTACTAATTCCCTTAAAACAACTGAACAGAATTATTCCGATGATGATGACGACCGGTTTCTTAAGACGGACTAGTGAGTTCGGTAGTTTGAATGTTCCGTCACAACAAATCAGTCAACTGGTGTCATTTACTGAGATAATCGATAATCGGTCAACCTACTCATTCTACAATCAACCACAATTTCGTCAGTTTCTCTTCACATTGTTCACACATATTTCAGTGTTATCCATGAAACAAAACTCGGTCCAATCATCGTATCAATTGCAATGCATATGATGGTATTTTCGACTATTCGAAATCTACATTCACTGTTCAGTGATTTATTTGAGAGAACAACACATGGTAAACATTAAATGAATAGTTTATTTACATTTAGTTACAGAATATCAGACATAGTGAAGTACATTGCAGTACTGTACAGTACAATATGGTACAGCAGTCAGTAGACGAATGAACAAAACACATTTACAAATTACATTGAATGTACAATGGATTAAGGATGAAAGATGAAGAAGAAGAAGAAGGTGAAGAGAAAGAGGAAGAGGGAGTAAAAGAAATGAATGTAAAAGGAAAATGGTTTGAAAGTATTACCGATGTACATAGATGATTGACTGACATTAGTGCAAACCAATTACACAAATATAAAACTGCAATAAAACATTCATCACTGATATCTAACATTCAACAGATAGACATTGAGAAAACGGTTCACTTCATAAGAACTTTCATTATGATGAGTGATTGCGATTAGCATGAATTGTACGTAGTTCACAGTGTAAACTTGTCCATCTGCTTACCACAAAGATTCCTATTCAGTCATGCTGAATAGTCTACAGTTTAGTGATTCGAGGAACATCAGATATGTGAAGCAACTTTGCAAATATAATAATGGGAGGCGATGCTTCGAAGAGAGAAGTTCGAACATTGTGGTTGGTGATGTTGTGAGATAAGTTGTTAGTCAAGGCTTTCTAACATTTCTGAAGTTCCGAGAATGTGGACTGGCACCTAAACTACACACACACACACACACTTACACTTACACAAAACGTATTTCACTCTTAAACTTCACTAACACTTTTCTGTAACGTCCGTCAAACGTTACCCACTTACTGACTGACTGACATTTCTATCGACAATGGACACTCGGTGCATTCATCAGTAAACGTTAGCTCTGATCTACACATTAACTCTACATTGAAAAAAAACACTTGCTTCTTTCATTATGCCAACTACAAATTTCCAAGTAATATGTGTCATTTCAGTTCACCGAATAAAACAACACAACCATCCTCAATCATATAAAGCATGTTACACTGATTCTTATTACACTGGATATTCGAAACATTCCACCTCATTATTATCATTATTATTAATATTATTATTATGACTACCATGATAAACACGTTTTCAACTTACAACAACACACTCTTCCTCCAGTCATATGGTCAGTTGAATTGATCTTTATCGTAGCGTTTTCAATCAGTCCAGAATACAGATCGCACCATATCGGTTTGAGCTGTAAATAAGGAGAAGTTTGAAATGTAACGTATATCTGCAATTCATACATCAAATGGTTGATGGATGTAGCATTCCATCTAATATTAATGATAATAATAATAATAATAATAATCATAGTTTCAATTGCACACTTGACATCTCAATGAAACGCTCCATACAGTCAAACTGCAAACGTTTCTTATTCTCTACAACTAATAATAACAATAATATTATTGTTAAGATATCAGAATATGTTGATGTTGAGATGAATCGGTGATCATCAATTCAACTGGAAGTATGTATATATACAGTGATATATCAGTTAGACAATTACATATTTAGTGAAAATGTAAAACGCATCTGAAACTTACAATTTCATATGTGTATAGATTACACTGTGGATGAGATCGGCATTCAGTGAGACAATCTGATTCGTTTTGACTGACTCCAACCAGTAGTTTTGTGAGAACGTCTTCTCTGGCAGTCCCAATTTCCTTATCCATTGTGAATAGTTGCAATGCATATTTGTGCTGCATTTCGGGCAGTGCTCACATGAGGATAACAATGTCAAATGATTTGTCACATTTGTTTGTGTGTGCAAACAATATGAAAGATGAATTGAAATGTACACAGTGATAACGAATGAATATTGAATCATTTGATGTAACTTGAAATGTATAAGAAATGGTGTATTGTTCGACAATAACAACTGCTGCTGCTGCTGCCACTGCTGCACTGCTGCTGTTTATATAGTGCAGATGAATCAATTGATTGGTGGGATTTGCCATATTTACAATTTGACCAATTGGGTGGCTGCTCATTGCAAATGAATAATTTTTTACCAGTTGGATGTATGTAAACTGTATTGGTCATTTATTTCATTATGTGAATAGTCATTATGGCTTGCACAGTGATTTTCGTCGAGTTTACATGCCCATGTTTTCGTCAATTCTATGTTGATGTCAAAGCATCTGAGGAGACTGTGTTATTTACTTCGTCAATTAATCCTAGTTTCGATTGCATGTTGATGTGCCCATAACTGATGTTTGTGCTTGATTTAGTGTTGAACTCTCGTTAAACATCATTATCTCAAACCGACTTACTTGTGATCTTCTCGAATATATCTCAATGGAGTGACCATAACTGCTTCCTACATGACAACCAATAACAATTCAATTTTGATGATGTGATTGATTTGAACCGAGATCATTGCGTTTATCATCTAATGAGCTCGTCACATGTTACATTAACTCACCATTTTTTTGTACAAATCCAACATCAATTTTAACCAGTCTTCACTTATTCACATACGAGTCAAGTCGATTTCAAGTAACACAACTAACAAGTGGCATTTCAATATAATCAACGGTATTGATTGTAACTATCAAGGAACTATCTCTCTCATTGCACAAATGTATGGCCTATTAAACAGTACTTTGTTCGGTGTTTGGTTTTCGTCCAAACCGTAATGTATATTGAGTTCGATTAGAATTATCAAGTGATTTTAAGCTAGTTAAACTCACTTGCATGTGTGTCCTTATCAGACGTGTGAATTTCAGGAAACGTCGAACGACATACAGCCATGTGTATCGAGAATGATTTTGTTATGCCTAAATTTCATGGAATAAGACTAATGCTGAGAAATTTCCTCAGGTCCGGGTTTCTTTGCCAATATCCTAAAACGTATCCGACTTTTCAGGAAAATCGTATGAATTTCATTCACAATTACCCGAAATTCTCTCTGCATATAAAACCATTTTCTAATTGGTAGATTGTTCATCAAACCTGGCTGGCACATTTATTTTACCGTCACACGATTGTTCTTCACATCCACATGTCTTCCGTTGCACAAATTTACAAAGGCAGTGACTGATGTCGTTAAAATTGACATATTTCCATTGACTGTTTGTAAGTATCATATACATTAATGAAATCACAGCAATCATGGTGAGTCAGTAGTCTGTCTTACGATGTTATCATTTCTATTACGAATGGAGCGTAGTTTCAGCTGATATATGCATGTTACCACGAATACATACACAACAGACTATGAATGAAGCGATGATTGTTGCACAATCTTGCTATGATGAAAGATGTTTCGGTTGGAGATACGGTTGACTTTCACCAACCAAACAATAACTCATCTCGAATTCTTTCCACAAGTATGAAACGAGATCAGTTAGAATGTTTATCTTCAAACACTTTATTGATTTCTACAACACAGCTAACTAACAACCGTATTTCACTGATGTTCACAAAATCTATTCAAGTTGGACAACATTTGATCATTTGAAGCTTCTTGAAACAACAGGACATTTCATCAAACATCGGATGAAATTAAAAGTCCGTTTGTAAATAACCGATTTTTCATCTCTACCATTACTTTGACCTTTACCTATAATGGTTATTTTGATCATCATCAGTTTGTAAATAAAAAACAACTGCATCCATTCATGTAATGGAATATGTACTCTAGCTAACCTTTTATTATGTTTATTATTATTATTAATATTATTATTATTATTGGGCGAACGCCTTCACACAAACATGTTCTTATTCCCATTAGACAATTTGCATATTCGACATCTGCTTCCCTCATATTGTGGTTCACACGTCCTTCCCTTATATCAACATGTCTATTGTTATTGTACTAAATAACACATTTATTCCCATCATCATCATCATCATCATCATCATCATCATCATCATCATCATCATCATCATCATCATCATCATCATCATCATCATCATCATCATCATCATCATCATCATCATCATCATCATCATCATCATCATCATCATCATCATCATCATCATCATCATCATCATCATCATCATCATCATCATCATCATCATCATCATCATCATCATCATCATCATCATCATCATCATCATCATCATCATCATCATCATCATCATCATCATCATCATCATCATCATCATCATCATCATCATCATCATCATCATCATCATCATCATCATCATCATCATCATCATCATCATCATCATCATCATCATCATCATCATCATCATCATCATCATCATCATCATCATCATCATCATCATCATCATCATCATCATCATCATCATCATCATCATCATCATCATCATCATCATCATCATCATCATCATCATCATCATCATCATCATCATCATCATCATCATCATCATCATCATCATCATCATCATCTCATTGTATTCACACTATAATTCAATGTTTCGTTATCAGTGTTACACTCACTGTTCAGTTACAAACACACCCTGTGAAATTCAAACAACAACGTGGTCTCGTAATCACCTACAGAACGCGATTAGGTTTCCTCACCGATCTTGTCGCCTTCTCGTGTTCATCATTGCCTCATTTCCACATTCTCATCACTGAATCCAACTGTACAATTTCACAGTTGACTGAATCACCACTTATACACAACACAGAACTATATCACGGGGTATTGTTATTAACACGTCAATCAACTACTATGTATGATACATCATCAATCTCACATCATAGTTGCACATCATGATGTTATGGGATCGACTGTCAACATTACTGAATATCGGATCTTCTATTGACTTCCATTGTCCTGTGTTAAATCAATAGCACAACAGGTATTCTCTCTGCCCGTTGAATGACTGATACGTGTATTATCCACATCGATAATACATATTGGTTTAAATGCTATGTGTGTTCTGTTACGTGAATCTCCTTCTTCTTCTCTAACTACTAATGATAATTGCTTAGATCTACTGTGATGAGGTGGTTGAAAACTCACTGTAAATATCTCATTTTATATCACTTACTTATCATACTCTCTATCGCATATGAGTCCCGTCAATCATCAGTGTGCATATTGAACTGCACAAAGTTGTGCACTTTCTAACGATTGACGAATTTCATCTACAAATTGAAAATCCTCCATTGAGGAAATTCATTGGTTTAAATGTCGTTCAGTTGTGTGAATATGAATGCAATGATTTGATCATGAATTATTCAAAGATCCAACAGTATGGATTGTGAATATTCAGACTGTCTTCAATGGAACATTTGATTGAGACAATCATTCATGATATGATCTGTTAAATCTGACCATCAAAGTTACCTATTTGCATGATGAATGGATTTCGTGTAGTGAATTGTTAATAGAAATAAGAGAAGTGCACCAAAGCCTTATCTGTGAAGGCAAACAAAGCAGCTAAGTTATTTGTCGATTTCCTGTATACTCTGTCAAGTATCCTCCATCAAATAGATACATATTCTTGTAACAACATACAATAAGATATGTGACAACTAATTGATATGTCAATGTTAGTGTGATAGACAATTTGAAAATGAGAACGAAAAACACCGAAATATGCAATTTGTTACTTGTAAATGATCGTTCAACTTACACACTACAATCTGAAATATCCGTTGCAAGCATTGAAGAATATTCTATAACAAAACAGATATTAGTATGCTTGCACACACGAAATTTATCGGCAATGAAACGGGCTACTGAATACTACTGATAAGTAGTAGTGTCGAGTAATCTACAAAACTCTAGTCGAACATGAAGAATGTAAGCAATACAACGAACTCAAATGAAGTCATATCGATTGCCAATATGAAACATTCAATCGCATGATTCATCTCAATCAAATAAAATCAATTAAGATGGAGGTTGAAATCATACAGAAGTATACATAGATGTAGGAGAAATATGATCGACAATGAACGAAATGAACTTGACAAATTGTTGGACTAAACCAATTGATCTGATTTCATTCAATTTCACTTGGTCGAAAGCTACTCCAAGTTCAAATATTCACCTGATTCAATTCGAGAGGGTGCTACAATTGAACAATGTAATATGTTTTAACTTATCTAATGACATGATGACATGATGTCTGATGTTAACTTTATAACACTTGTGTCTTGCAAAATTACCAGTTCACTTCATTCCAGTACATGTTCACACAATTTTACATGAGAAAGTCCAGTTTATTCTCATTGACATCACACACACACACACACTATTCTGAAATCAATTTGTATGTTGTGCTGTTGTGAAACACAATCGCTGTTTGAGATTCCTAGTATTTTGATGAGTGAAGCGTTCAACTTCATTGAAGTTCACAGTTGGATAGTTAGTTAATTGAGAGTTACACTCAACTTGCACTGTATTTGACCGAAGAAAACAGGTTTGATTATCCTATTCAGACATATTCAGCTTCAATGTTTCATTTCTTTGCAATTCCGAGAAGCACAAAAATTCCTTCTCCGTTTTAACTTTGTTTAGTGTTTGATTTGCCATCTTGTGAACATGCAAACTGTAGTGGGAATTCGATATCACTAATTTCTCGGATAAAATTAGTAGTTTTGTAAATCTGCATCAATAACAACAGCAATGAATGAGTGGACACATGAAAGCACATGTAGTTTTCAAAATAAATCTAGCAGATTCCACTCTGTTCCACTCCTTCAAATAGACATCAATCTCTCTATCTGTAGGTGATTTACACTAAACAAGTGAACGAACCAAATACCCTGAAAATGCTTCAACTCATCGATAAGTGTCAGCATTCACATTTTCTGATTTCATGCAATGCATCATTCGTTATGTGTTTGAATTCGTATTCTAGTGAGTAGAGACCGACTCCGTATTTCTCATGTCACTACTCATGACCGAATTCAGTGAAGCAAGTTGGAACAGGACCATTGGTCTTGTTGACTGAATATTCATTGTACACAGTTTCCACACTGGATTACTAATAAGAGTGTACTATAAGAGTGTAAATCTGCCACTAAATTTCGTGCTAGTTAACACTTGCCAGTGTGATTTGAACAGGCGTCATCATCCCAAGTGAATTATTCTGTTAACAATTCATCTACACTAGAATTGACATATTTTCATTGACTGTTTGCTTGCATCGTATACATCGATCAATACACACTAGTCGAGATTCAGTGTACATTGATGTTCATTTTACGGCACGGACTGGCGTGTAAGCCACGGATTTTCCCGCACACGTTACATATTGTCGTGGATTTTTTGTGTCGTTATTTATCAGCTATTAACAGGCTTTTTTGCATGACACATCAATTTCTGTATTGCTAGTGCTTGTAACATAGTTTTTATTCCAATTTATTGGCAGTTTGACGTATTTCTTGCTCACCACGTAAGTAAATCTGAAGTTAGCTTAATATAGTTATTTGTAACAATACAAACTCAAGCAAGTAAAGTTCACCGTGTTTCTAGTCAAAAAATACATCACAGATTGAGTTTTCATGAAAATGAACCGTAAAATCTTTTACATATGGTTCACCTCCTTGATTGCGGTGACGGTGAACATGGATGTCGGTAGTTGTTTATAAAATGTAAGTAGAAGCAATCAAGCGTTAACCTAATTGTGAATATTATATAACTTGTTTGTATTTAGCCATAAACAGTTATATCCATTAGAGGTACCATTGTTTTGTACTGAAGTGACATAATTATGTAACGTATCTGAGAAAAATTATGTGAGTAACAATTGACGTTTATAGTGTTGTCCAGCGGCTTTCTGAACGTCTGCAGTAATAGTGTATAACACCACATCAAGTAGGAACAAAATCTTCATGAATAAAACGATCGGTGTTTCTTGTGAGAATGGTGACACAACCATGTTTTTTAGTTAATACTGATTTGTGACGTGTCTGTTATAGGGTTCACAAATGAGTTATTATATACTCTTCACTCCGTTTCGGTAATACAGTTGTTGTGTTACTTAGGAAGTTATGAATGAATGTCACTACTTGTTAATAAAAGACTTATAGGCACAGTCTGTTACTTGCTATTTGAATAACTTATTGAATATGATACTGAGAACAAAGTTTAATTGTTTGTCTCAAAACGGATTTGTTGTTTTTCAGAATAGTATGAAGCTTATGGAATTTAGGATTACGGAAGATCGTGTGGAAAACCGGTTTACAAGTTTACGATAACTGTTTTATATTGCCTACTGCTATGCTCATTCATCTAATGAATTATTTAAATATAAATATAACAACCATACGCAGTGTTTTATATTATAAATCCTGTAAGTTTGTATAATTATGGTCTAAATAAAGCCAAAACAAATATTGACGCAGAATCATGTGACTGCATTACATTTCGTGGTTTCTCACAAGTTGCATACAACTGAATATGCATTATAATTTAAGATTGAGGGAAGAAATAGTATGAAAGATAATAGAAAGCAAAGAATTGGAATGACCTAGGTTATCAATAATAACTATACATATGTATATGCTTGAACAGGTCAAAGGTCATTTGGTGTTAGACTTAAGGGAACATAAAGGATGGGTGGTGTAATAGTCGAGTGAAGCTCAGAAGCATATAAGATAAATTGTGTGATAATTCTAGATGTAATGAATAAATCAGTGAATTAAGAACTAATAAGATAAGTGAAGACAATCTGAAGAGTTAACATAATTTAGCAAAGAAGTGTGAGTGGAAGGGTGGTCTAAGGATTACGTAATCCATCTTATCAAGGAACTAGCTGCATGAAATTGTCTAGTTCCATACTAATACTAACTTGATAATGGACGTAATCTGACAACGGAAAATATGTAAGGCGGTTGTTTAATCTGTAAGGTTTTACGTGGAAGTCGCATTATTGTTTTATTTGACTCGTTGATTCCTCACAATGAACAACGATATAACGCTAAGTTCTAACGACAGTTCGTAACTAATACAGTAGTACAAATTCTTAATTTTCACACACAATTATTCGTTAAAGCGATTGGTAAACCTCCCCATGAAAGTATGAAGAAGACGAAAATAAAAAATGAGAAAAAGTTTATTGATTTTTCATGACTACTAAAGTGGAAAGATAAGTTTACAAGTTGTATAAATAGTGGTATAAAATAAAGCCACAAAGAACTGTTAATCGTAAACCTGCTGTCTAGCTGTTTATAATTCTTAAGTAAAAATTGTAGACTTTTCTCTCCACCTGATTCGCGAAGCGTTCACCATATTTCTCAACAATTTGTTGTTTGCACATTCTTTGGAGCCGTTGAAGTTGTATATATTCTTTACTCCGTCTCCGTAATGAAATTCCTGTGTTGTTTTGTAAATTGTGCGTATTGTCTAATTTCCATCTGCAGCAACACCTAAGAAGTTGATGAGCTATGCAGTTTATATTTTATAATTTAAATAGCTTACCTG